TACAAACACATACACAAAGCTACATGGGTCTCACCGGATTACACCGCGGAGAACCAGATAGATTATATTTACATCAGTAAAAAAATCAGTCCCATGTGAGACTTGAGAACCAGAAGAGGAGCTGACATAGATTAAGATCACCATTTAGTTGTGGCCAAGATGAAACTGAAGCTAGGGAAGCACTGAACAAACAGCAGTACAAAGGTTCAATACAGTCTTCCTACGAGATACTAACAATCTCAACAAATTCAAGATAACTGTGAACAAGAGGTTCCAAGCCTTACAAGATCTATTCAAAGACGAAGAAACTTTGACGGAAAATAACCGGAAAGGGCTGAAAGGAACACTAACTTCAACGTGCCAGAACGTGCTGGGCCTCAAGAAGTTCCATCATAAGGAAGGTCGGGTTGCCCATCCTCACAGCTCCTACTCAACGTAATGGTGTTCGGATTTACAGCATGTCAGTGAAGGATGCTAAGAGGATCTTTGTGTCCGATCATTATTATCTCTCGAGGATTGCTGACATTCGTATAAGTGAAATAAACTTGAATAACTGCCAGATTCCATTCTGGTTGTGCTTTTCTTAACTAAACTATTACTCTCACTATTTAATACTCCTAATAACTTATTTCTATTCAATTACGGTATTTTTCACTTTTTGTATTCATCTTTTTTCTATATCTTCACGATTTCACTTTTATTCTGTGGTATATATATTTTCATGTATGTTTTTCGTTTTACCAATTTTTACGTTTAAATAATTAAGGAAATCATTGTTTTCTTTCCATCACTTTGTAACATATCGTTAGTTACAATGTGTTAGCATGTTAAATGTTCAATTTTCTTGATATAGATAACAAGTGAATATATAGTTCTTTTATGATTTTTTGTCATCCACCTTAATTTTTAGTTGTCTCATTAAATTTACCTAACAATTTAAACAATAATATCATATCGCTTAACCAAAACTGATGACTGTGAAAGCGTTTGTGTATGATATAACTGGAAAACGAATATCGTATATATGGTGTTTGTATAAAACAATAATTGCTGCTTGTGTTATTGGTGATTTTAGTATAGTACGTTTACATTTGTCTACATCTTTCTTCTCTGTTCAATCGTTCACTTATTCAAAGACAATCAAGTGTGTTTGAAACAAATTCAGTAGTTCTTATATCGTACATAATCACATTCAATATTACTATTTATTTTAATATATCACTTAATGACTTTGAAATCTTTAAAGAATTTTTAAATGATAAATTCACGTTAGACTGAAATATGTTCATTAAAGTAGATTAAGTAATGAGACAAAAATAAATCTTGGAGGTTGTTGAATTACCGTAGCAGTGATAGATTAATAACTTATTCATTTTGATTTTATGACGTGGGTTTAAGTCATTTATTAATAGATAATTCAACAAAACACAATAAAATCGCATTATTTTACTTAGTAATTACGTTAATTGAATTTCATTCTCTATTTTGGAAAAAAATATCTTTTAACAAACTATTGAGAAATTTGATGGCTATGAGTATGGAGCGTGCTGCTTATATTGATATAAGTAGCATATAACACGAGTCAGGAATATAATGTCTGGCAGCAGAAGATGGGGAAGTTCAAGAAGGAAGAACGGGAATAGAAAGCAATTAGTATGGAAATGCGAGAAGAACGAAGTTTGAGACAATTATTGAACATTTTGCAAATTAAGTATTATAGTATGGTTTTTATATTTTACCAAATAACTCGGTAACTGTGTCAAATATAATTCGGTTGTCCTCACCTGTGTTCTCCTTCACTACATGAGCAGCGAATTCTTTGGGATATACTTAAAAATCTGTTCATGTGTTTACTTCTCTTTGCTTTAAAACTACATAATTTAGTACATACATTCGATGTAGTCCATTATATTAAAAGCTGTCAACACCAAATTTCATAGTCAAAGACATTATTTATAAAACTTTTTGTTTTGTTTTTGTTATGCCCCGATAAAAATAATCAGAATATACTTCCCATTCCAAGCTTGGACTTCTCCCTCTAGTTAGCGGGGCTGGGACGCATCGAATAGCTAGCTTACTGATCTTTGGTCACTGAGTCTTTGTTCTGGTTCTCAGATTAAGTGAACTCGTGATAACCTCAACCCTAGAAGTTTTTGATTTGAATGTTGTTTAAGTACTCAATATAAGTATAATTATACTTGTTTTATTAAACAGTAGCATATCAGTTAGATCATATTTCAGGCTTAGAAAACTTTTATATTATACGTGTATTAAGCAGTTTATAATAAAACTGTCTAGATTAATTTTAATTGACAGATTTCAGTCATTTATAAAGTAGTATAAAATCTTCAACTAACAATTTCTAAATTCATTAATATGACGATTGTGTCAATTGGTTGATACTAAATTGAATAACAATTTTATGTATCTTTTTTATATCTATAATCATGCTGTTTATTTGAATGAATACTTCGTTGTATTTAAATATGTTTGACGAATCTCATTTTGGTTCACTTAAACAATCAATTATCATTTGTTATTCTTTACATTTTCAGATTATGAACTAAAAATAGTTAGAAATAATTCGATTCATTATACCCGCTTTTTTTTTCTAAAAATTTGATGTATAGTAAATTCAATGTTAGGTTTAATTATAATATAGAATTGAACAGTTAGTGATCAGGTATGTGTTTAATAACTGAAAAGAGTTTGTATAAATCGACTCATTAATTTAACTATTAAATTATTAGAATATCCACAAATCCCTGTTCTGATAATCATCATCATTTGCTCACTCGTGATTGATTTCAAGAGGTATTTCCTAGTTCTAGTGAGAAGCTATGAACAGTGAAGTTGAACCGTGTCTGTTGTGAGATAGTTACTCATTGAAGACAATGGTGGAAGGTGGCTCAATTTTGTAGATTGGTTGAAGTTAGACATTAACATAGTTAGATGCCGGCTCAGTGGTCTAAAGGTTAAGCGTTCGCGCTCGAGATCGAAGGTCCTGGGTTCAAGTCTCCTTGATGAGGGATCATGGATGCGCTCTACTGAGAAGTTCCATACTATAACGAGACAGCCGTTCAGTGCTTCCAGGTTCTCACTAGTGATCTAGCATAAATGGACTCATGAATTCAACTATTAACTTATTATCGATTTTGTAGTAGTAATTTATCAAAATAATTGACTTTTTTGATCATTCTTACTTTGTCAACTTGCGCATAGCTAATAAAGTGATTTATTCAAATGAAAATAAGATTAAAAAACCCATTAATTTATCCGTCATATACGATCTTTGTAGAATGAATTGTTCATTTGATACGTTTAAGATTTAATTCTTACTGTATGATAGTTAAATAGATAAACTTCCATTCTAAGTATTAAACTTTCTGAACATCATACAAATACATATTTCAATAGTTCAGATCATGAATCAATTAGAGCTAGACAACCATGGAAAGCCTGAGGCACTGGAAGGCCGTTTCGTCCTACTGTGAGACTCAACAGTGCGCATCCACGATCCCGCCTCGCGGGAATCGAACCTAGGACCTGTCGGTCTCGCGCGCGAACGCTTAACCTCTAGACCACTGAGCCGGCATCCATTAACACTATTATTTGATTTGAGCATCTGTTTGTTTCGGGCTTGTGTGCTGCATCAAAAGGTGTGTTGTGAATCAACCTGACATCGTTAAATTAATCCCAGAAATGAGGTAACGGATTGACCGATCATTAAGAAAAATTTTTAAAATCATGAAGATTTTGAGATCTGTCTCTCACAATCTACTACAATCTCTTTATTTCATTTTAGGTAGCCTTTAGGATACAACGATGATAGGAGATAAATATAACATCAGCTGAAAAATTAAATTGTACCAATTATAGATAACATTTCATCAAGGAAATAAACGCTCTCTTAAGTTTTTCATACGTGAAGATAAACTAGCAGTGAAGTAACACTGTATCACTGATATCAATACGCGTTGAAAACCATTCACATGTATTCGACTGGAAAAGCGATGAAATGTTGAGTTGATGTTATTCCAGAGAATTATTATAAGTATGTAATCCAAATCAATCGGTCATCAATAAGCAAGTCGATTTAGGTTATCTATCAACTTATATGATGAAGATGAGTTTTGACCACGGAGTATGAGGTCAACTGGACAACACGGCTATTAGTAATGTGAGTAAAAAAATTTACAAAGACAACGGATCACAAATTTTTGCAGAATCTATAAAATAAATCACTTCGACACGCATGGGGCTCTGATGATATTGTTCAAAGCGACAATAAAAGTTCCACCATCTCTTTCATAGAAATCAATATCATCAAAATATCCTAATGCCCTTTAATCACTCTTATTCATTTTTCCACTTATTTAGGTCTATAAAAATGTAACACCTTTGATTAGCAGATGAATGTGCGAAAAATCGTTTAATCTCCAATATGTTTTAATGGATATTTCTGTCCATAATAAACAATCATTTATCTTATCAGAAAAGGTTTGTGGAGATTTTAGAAATTTCACAGATTGAGATCATGATTCAATTGAAGTTAGACCATCATGGAAAACCTGGAAGCACTAGACGGCCGTTTCGTCCTAGTATGGAACTCCTCATTGGTGCGCATCCACGATCCCGCACCCCGCGAAACTCGAACCGAGGACCTATCAGTCTCGCGCCAGGCGCTTAACCAACTAGACCACTGAGCCGGCATCCAATCGTGTTAATGTCTAATTTCAATCAATCCACGAAGTTGCGCCACCGTATACCATTTTCTTCAGTGAGTTGATATCTCACAACAGACCTGGTTGAACTCCACTGGTAACGGCTTCTCACTAGAACTCCAGGAGTATCTCTTGAAGTCAGTCACTCGTGAGCAAATGATTATTATCAGAAGGGGTTTGTGGAGATTTTAGAAATTTCACAGATTGAAATCATTTGTCTACTTATTTTTTAGCGCTCTCTTTCTATTATCTACATTCAAAGACAATAAATATCAATTATTTAAATAATAGAACTTTTCAAATGTATTAATTCATAAATTATTAAAAAACAAACTATATATTGTCAACTTCATTTCATTTTTATTTCATATCTTCTTTAACCAAATCTTAAAGCAGTAGGTACTCTTGGATGCATCAATTTTTGTAAACCACCAGTTTTCATTTCATTCATTAATTTATTCCATAGATATTTTTCAGCTGTCATTGTTAAATAACGTTTAATTGTTAATGGATATTGTCTTTTGATATATTCATTATCATTGTTATTATTACTAAAAAAATCTGAAATTTAAATGAAAATGTATATTAATGTATTAGTAAATAAACTACTTACTCTTTTATGATATACATAGGTTTTTGTACAGATTAAAATAATTTATCAGAATGGGTTTTGTGGAGATTTTTTTTAGCAATTTCACTGGTTGAAATCATGAGTCAATTGAAGCTAGACCATCATGGAAAACCTGGAAGCACTAGACGGCCGTTTCGTCCTAGTATGGGACTCCTCAGCAGTGCGCATCCACGATCCGGCCCTCCGCGAGATTCGAACCTAGGACCTATCAATCTCGCGCAAGGCGCTTAACCAGTGCTTGCAGGTTTTGCATGGTGATCTAGCTTCAATTGACTCATGATTTCAACCAGTAAAATAATTTACACCATTCTTATTATCCAATAATGTTCAATCATATTTTCACTTAACTGTTAATAGTGTTACTCGTAATTGAAATTTCATATCAACCATGTTTCATGTACATTATTGTATTTATCTCAAAATTTTATGTTCGATTGCAAATTATTGTACACCGCTCAGTATTCAACAGTTATATATAGATATGGAATTTAATGTGTTTTAGTACATTACATAGATATTACACATAAAATTTTAACATTGAAGTTCATTTTACTGAGAAACTGTTGTAATCATAATTCATTTGGTGTTATTTTACTTGTATCTTCCCATTGTTATTTTGTGCTGCAATTGATTAGTTTCATGTTGGCATATGTGCATCCTATGCGGATTGCCTCGATATAACCTTAAGTCACAAGCTTTTTCACTGCTAGCCACTATCCATCTTTGCTTTAAAAATGTTGTAATTATAATTCACTATTATATAAACGTCAAATGCAGGGTATTCATCATGAGAATGAAACATTTTGTAACGGCTAAATATTTCTGGATGCTTCATTATTTATTGTAATAAATTGTAAACAGATTATGTTTGATTGATAAACACCAAGTATAATATCATTGTGTAATATTAACTGAATCATTAAAGTGATTACTATCAATACAAGTAAAACCATCTACTTACATTTATTATTTACACTTCCTATTATTTATTTTCGTTTATCCTATACAGTCCAACAATGTTTAGTTCACTATGATCTGAATGATTTCATAGTCAATCTTTGATAGTTAAAATATACGAATTGGAAAATTAAACACTAACGAGTTTATTCATTTGAACTATAAATCTTTATTCAGACTCTTTATGATGAATATTATTTCATTGCTGAAAAATAAAACAGTCCTAATTTAGAACTACTTTTCTACTAATGGAGTTAATTTCAACTATATATTCTCCTACTTTAAAGATAATACATTTGAATATAGTGGTTAGCGCGACATAGATTGAATTAAAGCATACTCAATACACGACTGCTTTGCCACACGCTGATTGGCTAATTCTTAACCAATCAGAGCTAGCCGATGTTTGGAAAACTTGAATCTTCTCACGTAAAAAACTATAAATATACTAATATTTCTCCTATTGTCCTTCTTACTTCCATCTAACCTTTTTATCTGGAATATAATCTCTTTTCCTGTTCAACCGTGTTCTGATTTGAGGACTTGTCGAGTGAATTAGTGTCCAAGACTACTAAGCAATAGGAATAGCTGGATTGTAATAAGAGAGAAAGTTATAACAATAGTCTATTTTAAACAACTAGTTAGTCGATTGGTAAATTAGTTTTATTATTTATAATCATATAAATACTTATAATTAATCTAAATAACCTCTAAGATGATTAACCTATTTTCTGGTATTTAAACGTTTTCTATTGAATAGAATAATATGAATATTACCATTAGTGTTATAATGAAAACAATCAAAATTCTTTGTCATTTTTTTAAAAAAAACCAAAAAAGAACATAAACATTTCTTTTTACTAATCGATATATGTATCTATGTATAGTGTTTTACGTAAAACAGATTCATTTTTGACGACCATAGACACATCGAAATTCAATAGATCAATTAATAATCTACCATTGAAATCTAATTCTTCCCAAGCAGTTTATACATAAAAACAGAACTTGTTTGTATATCTAAGTATGATATACAAAAGAAATAAAATTTTCTACATTTAAGTTATAAATTCAATATATATATAATAAATATAGATATTAGTTTAGTTAGTGAAGATTTGATAGCATTCTCATGATAGTATTTGTGCACATATTCATATATATACTTCGACCACTTGATTACGTACTATATATATACTTGTGAGTGTTTATGTATTTGAGTGCGTACAAGCGTGTGTATGGATAGAATTGAATGGGCATGTTGTGGTAAGTGTTAGCTAGAGAAAAGTAAAAAAGGTGTACTGTTTAATGGATAACATTTTCCTCTCTCTCATCTTAATAAAATGGACAAATCACTTCAGAATATGAATGGGTCAAACGATTAGTACATTTGAATCATAGTGAAATAACTTGAAATTTATTCTATTCCCCTTTAAATAAAATTAGAAATTATAATAATGTTGTGGTGTGTGCTACTTATATTGACATAAGTAGTATATGATGTTAGTCGTGAACAGATGGTCTGGCAGCAGAGAGACGAGAAGATCGAAAAGTAAAAAATCGAAACAGAATGAAATTTGTATGAAAATGCAAGAACAATGATGTCTGAGTGATTTTGAGACAATTGGTGGATATTTTGCAAATTAAGCATTTACTTTATGATTGTTAGATTTTATTAACAAATCCTGTAATTTTGTGTCAAATACATTCGATTGTCCCCACTGGTGTTCTTGCTCACTACAATGTAACTGTTTGAAATACAAATATTCACATAAAATCGAAAGAGGAACTTTCGAAAAAACGTATAACCACAAGGGAAAGGATTAAATGAAGATAGTCAAAGACACATTCTATTACATTTATGGGTAAAGTAAACACATCCGCATATAGTTATCTCTAAACAATCAACTACAGTGTACATTAGATTTTTATACTGGACTGTTAACAAAATCACAACACAGAAGTTTATTTAAGCATAAAGTAACCAGTGTAAATCATTGTACATTTAATGAATAAATATGTAGTGTTTAAAGCACTGATTTTTTGTTGGTACATTTTAATAAATCCAAAATTACGACATCAAAATTCGACTAATATCTATTACTGAATATAAATAAAGTTATCATTCAAAAAATAAGGTGGAATAAGATTAAATTGACTGCTTGATAATGACTATCTAGATTTGAAACTTGTCAATAATATGAACTATGATGAAACAGATAACTAGTACTTTATAGGAATCATATTTTTTTCTACTTTATTCCAGTTCATGAAGAAAAATATGCTTGAAATGAATAAATCTACTTGAATTACGCAAGTCAAACATGTTTTTGTGTTAAAGGGTCAATTTTAGCAAATGAAAAATTTAGAGCATTGAAAACGAAATGAAGAAGATCTAAGATGGTGGAGAAGATTTGTAGCTGTAGTGGATGATTTTTATCAGAAGAAAACCTACTTTATATAAAAATATGAGTCAATTTTATATATAGTATTACTGTAAATTAGTATAAATAACCGATAGATTCCATGACATGTTATTATTATCGTTAGTATTATATATAATCAAGTGTGTTTTGTTCTTCTTTTATATTCTATTCCCTCCAAATTGATGACTGTAGGTTTTGATAAGCTGTTAAGTTATAATTTTTAAAGACACCGGGAATCCCTTAACAATATTCTTTTATAATCCTACATATATATATATATATTTCATACTTCAAAAATAATTAAGAAGTGGTTCATTGGATTATTCCATAGAGTGTTATTATCAATTATCTTGAAGTTAATTAATTCAAATCATGATATGAATAGTTGTTTTTTTTTGTTTGTTATCCATCTTCTACACACGAACTCATTTGTTTTTGTTCAAATTTACTTATCAAATCCATTGAATGACCAGTCTGGGAATAATTTAATCAATTTCTTTTTGACTCATTAATTTATTTTACTGTTTTCTCTTTATCTGATTATTTAATCGATAAAAAGTGACCCATATTTATCATTATTATTATTATTATTACTAAACGGATTTTATTAAGCTTGTCTTATATGTTAGTACTTACGAAAATGTACCTTCATTTAATTACTGAAAATTATTACTTTTTATTTATTATTAAACATAAGTTATATTTATCAATAGTATTGTGGTGCGTGCTACTTATATTGATATAATTAGTATATGACGCGAGTCAGGAATGTAATGTCTGGCAGCAGAAGATGGGGAAGATCAAGAAAGGAAGAGCGGGAATAGAAAGAAATTAGTATGGAAATGCAAGAACAACGAAGTTCGAGACAATTATTGAACATTTTGCAAATTAAGTATTATATTATTATAGTTTTTCTATTTTACCAAGTAACTCGGTAATTTTGTGCTAAATATAAATTGGTTGTCCTCACCTATGTTCTCCTTCACTACATGAGCAGCGAATTCTTTGGGATATAAAATTATTGGTTAAATAAGTCGATAAAACAAAATCGTTCATCTTCAGGATGATAGAATAGAGTTACACAGGTACACTTGAACAGTCCCATCACTTCTTACTTATATACTTTAACTAATAAAACTATGACTGATATAAAACGCTCATATATTAAAAGTGTATATGTATTAGTAAATTCGTGATAGATCTAATTAAACCTGAACAATATCCATTAGATTTCTAGATCTTTAACTTCTCTGATAAGATATGAAAACTTTCTGGTTAATGTGATTTTTATTAAGTTATTCCATCTGGAGCCCCTCTAGGGGCCGCTACCGGTCCCAAGTCCGATAAAGGAGAAGGGTTGGGCATGGGGTCCCGAATCCACAGAAATCTAACTTGCTAAAAAACCCTAACCAGAAAACATAACTTAAAAGAGTATTATATTTACTTTCTTCTCACCTGATCAACTCTCAAAGTTCAATATTATTGTAAAAATTGTTGCTATATTTAATGAAAACTGAAATGAAATAACTTAATTCTCAAGAAAACGA